ATACTCTAGTGTACTCACAAAACAGCTAGGCGTGTATTAAAATGATTTACACTGCATGAAGTGATGTGTAGAAGGAATACATGCACAACTAAGCTGAACCTTTTTTATAACATACTCTAGTGTACTCACAAAACAGTGGAGTCATGCTAGAGGGGTCCCCAACCCTTGTATTACTCTTGCAGTAATATGTGTTTTACATACGTGGTAATGTGGTAATTAGAAAAAAATACATGCACAAATAGCTACACAAATGCATCTAATGCCACATGCAACACAGTCTGCAGCCATAATGAAAATAAAAAACATATACAAATATGTATATATTTTTTAAATTAAAATATGTATGTAATTTTACATGCAACACTGCAACAATAATAAAATTGAAAAAACGTTCAAAATGTGGTGTCATAGTGATTTAATATTTCTTGGATAATGTACGATTGTATTATAGCTTATCATGATGTAATATTGGAGACATCTCATGACTGACTGTCTGACTTACCTGGTGACTGATGAGAGACTGTACCTGACGTTTAAGCACACCAAGACGAGTCTTTGTTACCACTGAAAAATCGATCCAATGCCAGATTTAAATTTAAAGGAGAGAGCAGGGTTTTCAATAAGTGTTGGGGGTTGGAGAATGCTCCGTTAAATGATGAGCAAAACTCTCCCGCTTAAACTACCACCAATAGCTTAGCTATGACTCTCATAATGGGTATTATTGAAACAAAACTTCATATTTTGACAATTTTTATGGTTAAAATTTTTCATAATAGAGCAGTTTTCGTATGACAGTGAAAACACGACAAGGCAATGAGCAATAATTTGTTCTCCTTCCAATGAAACAACACTGCATGAACACAGAGCCGGCACAGAAATGGTCACGCCAAGGTCACTTTACTCTCCATCCAATAAAATGCCCGGAACATGATACAGACATGGTCACGCCAAGGTCATGGCACTGTCAGACCAATCACATTGCACAAGAAGAAAAGTCTGCCAATCCAAATCCTAGAAAACAGCAAGGTCGCAACAACCCATACAAAATGCACCAAGATTTTCACAGTCATACGAAAACTGCTCTAAAACAGCTGGGATATCTTGCCTGTTCTGACATCTGGAACAACTGCCTCACTGAAAACGTCCGCCATTAACTTGTGATTTCGTTGAAACCTGGCAGAAGCAACATGCTTGATGGAGAATGTCTCTTCATCATCTAAGAAAATAGTTTGCAAAATATGTATTGTAGATAACTGATTAATATATCTCCCTCTTTAAATGATGATATGTATTGGATTGTAATAATGACTAGTGGGTGACTTACAGTATGTCTCTATGTAGCCTGTGTAGCAGAACTTTGGGAGCTTTGGGGAGGGGGAGCCCCCAAAGCACGTTACTCAGGCTAAATGACTTACAGTATGTCTCTATGTAGCCTGCAAAGTAGAACTTTGGGAGCTTTGGGGAGGGGGGAGCCCCCAAACCACTGCTACTCAGGCTAAATTTCTGAAACTTCAGTACTGTAGCAAACTCTTTTACTCTTTTAGTGTTTTAAGTTTCCTTCTAATTCACTTGCCATGATAATCAAATTAACAGAGAATACTGAGAGCAATACTGGAATACACTTTTATTATACTAACCATCTTCCTCATCAACAGGCTGGATACTAAACCTTGGGTCATCTATTTTCTAAAGAAATGAGGAAAGATATTTTTAAAGTTAAGAACTTTCTTTTGGGAGGTCACTTCCACGTCTCCCGAGCCACAGGTAATCCCTAAGCATAGACTGTTTTCACTCAGTCCCTAGAGAGTTACATGTAACTGACAATAGAAATGGTAGCCATATTGGTGTACCTAGCAAAAGAAACTATATCAATGATAAAGTTCTTGTCAAACGTCATGTGAATACAATCCATGAAAGGCTCTCCAAATTTACTACAACAGAGATTCTATTTGCAGTCAACTCTCCCCTTGCGGACACCCCGATATTATAGACACCCTGCTATTATGGACAGGAGAAAAATCCTCAACAGAAATACAGACTGTAAATAATATTCTTGCTATTGTGGATGCTCCCTATTACAGGCATCTAGTGAAGGTCCAAGGGTGTCCACTGTTATGAGAGTTGACTGTTCTATCCTAAAGATGAGCACCATCAAGAGTTGAATTTTGGAGAAAGCTCATGCTAGTAGACTCTATTCCCCATTTCCATTTACTTTAATATCAATCTCAATACATCAGTTGCTGTTTTTCCAGCTTTGGGGAGGAGGACTGGGGAGGAGGGAAGAATAGTCCCTCCCCTTCTTCCTCCCTCTACAAAGCGCCACTATGCAGGCTAGCACAGACATCTACAAAATCATACCAATCAAGACATCTCATACTCACCCCAAATGTCATAGAGTTCATCATGGCTCTCTCCATAGACTGCTGTGCTTGGATAGCGGCTTGGGCTGAAGAAGCAGGAAAAAAAAGTATGATAAGAAATACTGTAACTCTGTGATATTCTTACATGTACATTTTGTACAATTTTAAGATCCAATGCATAAATCCAATGTATGGGTTGCATGGGTGGTCTATGCTGCTATAGCAATGTCCTCTCACCAATGCTATGGCAAGAGGGAAGAGGGAAGAGGCCCGCATTCAAGTCCCTACCAAGCTAGTACGTGTAAATTAAGTTTGTTTGAAGTGTTGTTCTCTCCTATATTAGGAGGGTTTTTCCGCAGGTTCCCCTGTTTTCCTCCCTTCATAGAAAAAATCAGATTGTGTGAGTTACTGTAAGAGTTGTGTGTATAGAATATAAGGATTGTGTAGGGAGGATACATGGCCCCACAAGCTTCTAACTTTAAAGCCTACTGGGTATATAAGATTACAGTGAAGACACTTGAACCATGAACACTTGACTTTATTCAGATTTTTCTTTTCTGAGCTTTTTACTGCTTCAAAACCCTCTAAAAAAGTAGGATTGAACTCAAATATGCTATGCGATCAAAAGACAACTTATTTCTAAATGATTCACTCAAGGGATGCATGTTAAAAAAAAGTAGTAAAAAAGCACAAAGTGTTCATGGTTAGAGTGTCCTTACTGTAAAATAAATGATTTAAAACAATGAAAAGAGCTCTAACCTCTTCCTTTGGCTGCTATCCATTCTTGATAGGATGGAGAGTTGTGATAGGATTTCATTGACTCATTATAATCTTGCTGCATTAAACAATGTAAAGTACGAATCAGACCACGACCTTTTGGGAAGCACAGATATACATGTACTATATATATGCAGCATAGCAGTGAGAGCACTTGCCTCTCACCAATGCAACCTTGGTTCAATTCCCAGATTTCCCAGTCATGTGAGCAATGTCCTCTCACCAAGGTAAGGCTTGTGGGAAGAGGCCTGCATTCAAGCTAGTATGTGTAAATTGAGTTTGTTTGAAGTGTTGTTCTCTCCTATATTAGGAGGGTTTTTCTTTGGGTTCTACAGATTTCCTCCCTCATCAAAAATCAGCTAGTTCTAAATTTTGATTCAATCATGGCTTGAGGGTCACAGGTTTGTTAGCCACTGGCTATTACACATAATGCTACATACGTAAAACAAAGACTATTCACACCATTCTATAAATACCTTGTAAAGGTACTCAACAAAAGCAAAAGTTACACCTTACTATATATTATACACGTTTACCTTTTCAATCTCATATTCATCCACATATTCCTGGTAATACAAAGACAAGACTATCAGTACAAAACAATTAATCTACATGAAAGTACTCAGCCGTCAGAATAAACATTCTAGTAAACACTACTCAGGGTTCCCAGCAATTTTGAAAATAAAAATTCCCTGACTTTTCCCTTACTTTTCCCTGACCCCTGGGAACCCTGCTACTACTATCTCAGGTATCTTTACCATTGTTTTCGTTGCTACATGCTGATCGAGACAACAATTATTGCAACATGGAAATGGAGCAATAAACTGCCGTCAATCTGAGTACCATGTTAAGATACCAATTCATTTGATGTTGGTGTATTGTCTGATTTCCTCCTCGCAACTGTTGTCTTGATCAGTGCATAGTAATGAACACAGTGGTAATGTGCCCTTTGATTATTGTTACTTCTTCATAAGAGAATTCACCACTTCAGTGCTAGCCATCACATGCTATAAAACTGTATTGGATTGTGTTACAATCACAATCACCAAAAGGTTTGGACATTGTTCTCAGATTTTAGTACAAATGTACTGACTTTTAAACAAATTATTTACTTGATTTATTTAGTTACTGTACATGTAGCTCCCTAAATAAAAGCAAAATATCATTTTGCTAACTTGATTGCACCTTTTCTTACTGTTATTTAGAGAAACAGACCAAGTAAATATTTGTTCAAAAGTCAGTACATTAATTTCGTATGGGAGTCCGAGAACAATATCTGAACTTTTTTGTGAACGCAACACAATCCAACACCATTATACCATGCGCCAAAGTGATGAACTGGAAACAGAACCACCAATTAACTCAGCTTCTTAATTCATGAATCATGCTTCTTTATCTTTACCTTACTATTTACAGTAGACCCTTCATATAAATGAGACACAAAGGTACCAGGGATTATAAGTATTGCCCCAATCAAAACAAAATCAGCACCTGTTTTTCGTCATCATCAAGATCTCTCCACATCTGTCCAATTATTTTTCCTATTTCCCATAATTTCAGTTCAGGGTTCTGGTTCTTTACCTGGTCCCAGATCTATATAAACAACAGAAATCAAACTAAACATGCTGATACAAAATACATTGAGGCTAGACTTTTTCAGTCCATCTTTAAGATCTGCAGCAATTTCTACCCTGTCGGCAGTGAAAACTCATTTCAAAAGCATGGGTGGTTAGCAGTGAGAGCGTTTATTTCTCACCAACATATATAGACAGTACCAGTACTTACTTTCCTACTGTATCTCATGTATGGCATCAATGGTTTCTCTGGAGGCTTTGGAGCTTTTGGCACTCGAATATCTGTGGCCTACAACAGGATCATGGAAAAATATGACTTAAAGTCAGTGAAATTAAAGTCAAACTAGGAAAACCGTGAACCTGCTGAAATATGTCTAGAATGTTTATTGTTTTCGAACCAATCACATGCAAGATTTACAAGTAACTAAAGATCTGTCCATTATCACCAAACTAGATGGATCACTTCGTTTACATGCAGAAAAATATCTCTTTTAATGCATAGAAAGTATATTCTAAGCAAACCAGTCAATAATTTATTTGCGATTTGAATAAACTATGTATGTATGTATGTAAACCAGGAATAGCTTTTTAATTTAAATTTAAATGTTGAACATGATTCATTTAGTTCAGTGATAACGATCTTCAGTGGCTAGTAGATCTAAAATGTTATTGGTTAGAAAACAATACTAGGGGGAAAACAGACATTTTAGGTAGTACATTAATTTTGTTGCTAATACCGGTAATACATACGTACCTGGGTTAGGAATCTTTGTTGAGGAAATCTTGGCTGTGCGAAAGAGGAAGAGCCCATCTGACCTCCACTTGTGCTCCACTGACCACCTCCCTAGGTTCATGGGAGACAACGTATAATAATATGTTTAACTCTGGCTAACAATTTATGGCACTAAGATAATATGCCAGTCCAGTAGTCAATAACAGGCTCAAGCTTGATTCATTTTTTATTGATTTCCACCAAAATTCTATTTGGTTAATGTTTAAACCTGATATGCTAATGGCTGTTCATGACTGGGAAGAGCTATAACTTAACCTGTATATCCCCCCTCCCCTCCCCCAAGAACATAGTCAAATGTTAGGTTTTAATTGGCTTGCTACATGGAAACTACAGCCCTGGGGTAAATGAAGAAATATACTGTACTTCCCGAAACATGCTTCGTTAATGGTTTCCCAAGGTAAACTGGCAGAAAACTGTGAGAAACAAATGTTTACAACATTGTTTTCACTCAGCATGGAAACACAATATGCTTCTTTTCTAATGAAAAAACATTTCTTGCTTCTTGGAAGCAAATTTTGTCACACACAGCAATGTTTGGTATGTGGCTAAACTGGGAAAAATTGAGGAAGCATGTAGGCAGTAAACAACTTCCTGGAAACACGCTTCCTTATTATCGTAACCTAGGACGTATGTTTTTTAGGATGAAATAAAGACTATTATTATTATCATTATTAATTTAGTCTTGGGGCTTACTTTGAATTCATCAACAGTAGACTAAATAAAAGTACTATTCTAGAGATGGATAAAAAAACACTGAACACAAACCTGGTTCATCGCTTGCGGAGTATTTGGATGGAAGGGAGGTCGAAATCTTGCAGCTGTTGAAACAACATTAAAATGGCATCAACATCAATGAACTAAAGCTCAGTTTTACAGTACATGGAATTGATGGAACTATGAAACTGGAAATAGCAGGGCTTAAAATAACTACCAGTAATTAGCCACTCATGATGACTGGCCAAATTGATTTTACCAACCCTCAAATTCCCTCTATATGTTGCCAATGATAATTATGATGAAAATTTCACCATATCAAATATCTTATATGTACATCTTATAATGTGTAAACACTCTGTAACCATAGATTTTTCAAAGTTTTTTTTAATTATTGTATTTGTTTAAAATCTGCATGAAGGGGACCTAAATATTCTAGAAAAATATGAATCATTTAAAAAAAATTATATGTGTAACTTTATCACGGCTTTTAGGCTTAACTTTAATAAAGCATAAAAGTTGAATCAGTGCGAGAGAAAAATGGAAATACATGGGGAATACATGTTGTTCTATATTAAAACTAAGATGGATACCATTCAAATATACAAAGTAAACCTTTAGTAGAAGTGTACTGCTACAAACCTTGAGCCATAGCCTGCATCTGAGAGGTTGATTGGTAAGAAGGAGACATACCAGGAGTGAACTGTCTTCCCATGGCTGGATTGAATGGTGGTCTTTGAGCACCGTACGACATGGACATGTTTGTCAGCTCTCAACGAGATATTTAGCTACTTTTAATCAATAAACCACAGTCCTTAGTGGTGTACTGTTCCTTAAGTTTCTGTGTTACGTTTTAAGCTGTTTTATAAGAGAATTCTAAAGACCTTGGGTGCGAAAACAATAATATTTTGTGTTCTCATTCAGCATTCATTGTCGGCCACCATCTTGAATCTCCTACAAACTGCGCATGTGCAAACGACGTGAAAGAAAATCTCGCCACAGGTAGCCCAAGCTTGGTTTCTGTCATCAAAAATTTCAATAAAATCATTGAAACATGAAATAATAAAGCCTCGAAATTTTACCCGATTATTGAGAAATAGCACTTTTAAATAATATTTCTTACTGGTGAGGGGAAAATCCTTAAAACGGGCTAAATTCAAAAAATAACCACGCAGAGCGAAAAGAAGTCCTTATAACATGACACCACAGAAACCAAGCTTGGGTTTCCTGTGATCTCGCGGGCTCAAAAAATATTTTTCCACAGGTAGCCCGTTAAAACTTTTTTTTATTTCTGGGCTGCCTTTGGATCATGGCGCAAGATCAAATTCACAAGTCGTGTGACACGCAAAACGCAAAACTGTTTATTTTATAGCCTGAAAAAGGGAAGAGCCTGAAATTCTTTTGATATTATATAGAGAAATACCTTAAGGGAGAAGATCGTCTTAGAAGAGTTAAACGAAATCACTATTTTCTGTGAAACATTCCATTATCTTTTGGCCAACATTGCAACCTTTTTCCGCTATACTAGGCCTCTGTGCATGATACAGGCAACCCAGTGAACGCCTATAGGGCGTCTCGTGCTTTTATGCACTACGGTTAGGAAAAGGGAGCTATGCGTAACTTACAGCAGTAAGTTGTGGACTACTGCAGACGGCCATTAGACATTTAAAACGCACAAGATCAAATGCGAGCTTTGGAGCTTTGGGTTAGACCAGTACATCTACTGTGAATCCTACAACATCAATACCCAACAGAAGCATTATCAAGACAGTATTGTAGTTTGTCACACTGTGTCTTAGTTCGCAATCATTCCCAATCATATAAAATCACAAACTCTTCGTCTATATAACATGCCCGGCAGCCGGGAAAGGTCCTGAATGCCCGGCAGTCCGAAATTCTGCTGTTATTTCATGAAAGCCAACATGGTTATATCAAACGCCAGTATTCTCAGGGTACAATAAACAATTTTTTGTAGCAACATCTTTTTTCTTTAATTCTTATTTTAGATGCAATGAAAAATTCTTCTAGTTATTAGAAAAGCAGGATAAAACACATTAAACATGGCCTAAATTAGTAATTACCGCAGTGCTACATTAGAAAGAAAAATGCTAGATTTCTGCTCATGCAAACTCATACTTCCAGACTACGATTAGCACCTTTACGAGTCTCACTTGTTATGTGTCTAGAACGCATGCGTCTATGACCTAGTCACGTGATTACGAGTGCGCGAATTAATGGAAGGTGAAAAATGATTTGTTTAGGTGCTTTTAGCCTTCTTCTTGGACTTCTTCTTCTTCTTTGCTTTCTTTGAAGGTCTCTTTCCAACTACTACCCGAGCTTTGTTCTTTATGTAGCCTTTATTGGCAGTCTGTTAAAATAATGAAATAAAAGTCAGATTATGCTGCGCTAACACCATGCACCTCCACACCCTGTTTGATGAAAAAACGTAAGGGAACATTTTTTTACCGAGGAGGGAGGGAAGTTATTTTGAAAAGAACAGGCTCAAGAGAAGAGGCCATGCACACAAAAGATATCAATGCGAAAGGGGGCACAGAGCAAGTTTATAATACACAAAGATTTATTAACAACACACCGTTCTCATGATGACTGACAAGTGCACGAAAAATATTTCACCCGGCCATTAGTTCACAATAAAAGCACATGAATAAACAAAATAACAATATTCGTCCATAGGAGAAAAGTAAAGAAAGTATACTTTTGTTTTGACTTGAATTCGGGCTATCTACCTCTATTTTGAATGAGCAGCCTTGCTCAGCCTAGCAAGATGACTGGGAGACCTTGTTTTCGTGCGTTCGTCGGCCATTATGAGAATGGTGAATGAAGGGGCGATTTTTTTATGCAACATCGGACTGGGGGGTCAGATTTTTTGTATGGGTTAACAAGCGAATCCTACGGTCACGCCCCGCCCCGGTCCCTAACTCAAATATAACGAAGATATAAATTTTCGGTTCTAGACGTATATTAATTATAATGGTGTACTTACTTTTCTAGGTATATATCGTGATGGTTTAGTGTGAGTTACCCTCTTTGGCTTAGTACTTTTCTTTCTGTTGACTAAATCTTTGACTCTGAAATTCGAAAAAAAAAAAAAAAACACAGATTAGGTAGGACCCTCAAGACCTCCCGGCGTCTTCCAGAGGATTTCCCAGCCAACTCAATTCGGTTCTCCCATGCAACCGAACAACCAGCTTGTAACTAACCCAAGCACACAAGGCGAAGTATTCTGATCGTGAAAGTCTCTAATGCCACGTGACTTATGTATAGGATTATTACTTGGGCCTACGAAAGGTTGAGCGGCCCTGGAGCAAAGGAATTTCTTCTCTAATTTCAGAGGACACCAAAAATACATCTAAACCCAGTTTAACATTAAAAAATTAAAAATACAGTTAAACCCAGCAGTTTCCAATGTGTATGGGATTTTCTTCGTTCCATGGTACACGACTTACTTGTATATTCTGACTAGCCAGTGTTCTGATGTAAAAACTTCATCTATATGTTCTAAACGAACGTTTTTATTCCCTATCTCCACGTTTCTTGTGCGGTCAAAACCAGAAGGTGTCCTAAAGTCAAGCTGAAATAAAAGTATAATCTGTTACTGTGGACGATCTGTGCGAAAAATTGGAATGAATGACTAGTGTGCGCTTTAGTTGCATTAGAATCCCGGATTATTATATACAGGAAATATGATACTTCAAGATAGGCCGCTTATACGACCACTCAAAATGAAAACTAGAAAACTTAATAACATATCTTTTAAGATAAAACCTGCAACTTTTAAGGATGTTATACGTTTCAATCCAGGAAGCTTAATGGGAAGACAAACCGAAGTTAAGACATTGCCGCCTGAGCATTAGAGTCCCAGTAGCTCAATGGTACAGCATCCGATTAGAACGCGGTTAGTCGTGGGATCAATTCCCAACTCGGCACATATTCTCAGAGTATCGCTTCAACGCCATTTATTCTACCTATCTTCCTCCTAAGATACATATATATTTTAAGACAAACCTGTAATTCACCAAAACGATAGTAGCACATCTTGTACATCAGGCAGTTAAGTAGAATAGGTGAGCCAGCAGCGTCTACGCGGAACTCTCCTTGAGGCGTGAAATAATCGGACTCCTATAAAAAGGCCACAAAGAATTTGAAACAAAATCAGCGATAAATATCGTTTCCATTAGATTTACGAGGTTATAATATTCAACAGAGAACAAACGAAAACAAGGCTGAAAGGTGAAAAAACTGTGTACTTTTTCATAGTTAGTTTTCTAAACTAGGATTAACAAAGTTTCACTAGTCATCGGTGTAGTTATTGATTCTGCGTTGGTTTGCACGCCTCTCATCACTGGGGTCTCGTCTTCGATTCGTTCCAGACTTGCATCCCATGGAAGTATAGTTTGTTAAGTGTCTCCCTCGACTCGAGTTTTTCTCCGGGTTCTCCGGTTTTCCTCCCTCCGCAAAACTTAACATGCTAAATGTCAATTCGATCTGTGAGTTAATAGGCGTGTCCTGACTTTGATCAGAAAGAGGCTTTTCAGGGTATGGATAAAATTTGAATTCCGTTCCCGTTTAGTGTCGGATTATTTCTCGAGAGGTCAACATGGCGCAGAATGCCCGGACATTTTGCCTCTGCCGCCTCATTTGCAGGTTGAAAATCTCGACTCGATTTACACGAAAAGAACGAGTTCAATTCTTTCCTGAAATCATGACACTAAAAGAAAGCAGCTTTATTCATGCAACCGAAACTTGTGTCGCGAAGAAGTTTCAGAACGAAATTGAAATTGCGCCGTATAACACCCCCCGTTGCACACACGTTTCAGCTAGAGCGTGAATTTTCAACGTGTAACTGGGCGTATAGACTTACCTTGATGTCTTGAGGATGTTCTCCTTCAGCAATCCTAACCATCCATAAAAACTTGTTGATGTCATCCCCAGAATAACCAATCACACCACCGAATATGACTAAGATGTAGTCCACACCGAGCATGCGCATAATCTTGTATGCTGCTGTCTCATTCGAAGACATGGCTTTACCAACCTATCATACCAGGAAAACAAATCAGTGACTTATAGAATGGAAGCTACATGAAGCTCACAGTAATAATGACCATACAGAGACAAAAACTCTTATCCTACTTTATCATTCCAGACTATATACATGCAACAAGAGTTCCGCGCTACTGCTCTAAGCGCATGCCCAAGGGGTCAAAAACTGGGATCATGGGTCGTAAAAATTGCTAATATTTTGGTATATTTGATTTGGAATTTGCTTAACGCTACTTGCTCTACTAATAGCGGCTGCGTAGGAGACTAATGAAAATTGTGGTTGATAAGAAAAATACAATTAAAATACATCAATTTTTTACAACCCATGATCCCTCTTTCTGACCCCTTGAGAATGCATGTATGCATCAGATACTCGGGTATAATATTCCCTTCTAACAAAACTCATATCAAAGTATCTTCTCAAGCAGTATCGATAAACATAAACAAGAACACTCAGTCACACATGGTCTGTAAAAATATCAAGCTCAACATGAAAAATTCTACAGGCTTGATAATTAGAATAAATAAAGGAATTCAATCTCGCTTGTGCCATTGAAGCTTAATTTTCACCCTTTTTGTTTCTCCCCTCCCCTCCCCTCCCCTCCCCTCTCCTGTCCATGACACCCATGGTCCTTCCAAGGACAGCCACTGTGTGACTTCAAAGAATTCTTCTTCGCCTTATTACGTGTTGATGCCGATACCAAAATCCTTTATACATTTCCTTTTGGACTATAGACACCTTGGAGCACGTTGAAGTGCAGCTCAATTTGAAGGGCAAAACAATAGGTTTTCAATTCTCAGGAGATTGAAATTTTTGTCCTTCAAATTGAACTGCTTAGACGTCACATGCAAAGGGTATACACTTATTTCAATAGTTAGTCAACAAAAACCTAGAAAGCTGAGATCACTGAGCATCATGGGAAACTTTTCATATCAAAAAAGCATACATATACAAAGCTTTTTTAATACAAACTGCAGCTCGATGATGCTCAGAAGAGGTGAGACTGTAACCGGTAAAAGATTCGCAAGTCCATGAACAGTTATCAAGCGGTTGAACGTTTAAAATGAATCTACCCATAATCCTTGTCGGCCTCAGCTTTATAGCTTTTCAGGTGACTAACTTTATTGAAATAAGTGTATACATAGTTTTCTTACGACTGTCAAAGGCGACAAAACAACTCAATTATAAAAACAATTCAAAAAAGCTTCAAGTAGAAGTAGCATCAAGACGTAAAATGGGAAATAAAGAAATTCAAAAATAGTATTACATGTATTTAATTGTATTACCAGGGCTATGTGGCTGTTATTCCATGTATTATTGTCTACTAGTGTTGTCCTGTTCGCCATGCCTGCTATCTGATATCCATAATCCCACCAGGACATCACCCTGGATCATCATTAAACATTATCATTTCATTAGATAATACGATGATCAAAAAATACAAATAAGAAAACCTTAACGTGGTTTTCCATATTCTGCAAACTCTGACATTTCAACGGCTCGTTGTGAAATACACCTCTTCGCCTCTGGTGCGCTCGAGCGTAATGTTGTCCCATTTCAGACCATGTGTTATTCCCTTGAGAATGAGATTCTTGCTTTGAGTTGTATCTATATTCAAGTGTCTTCTCATCTGCAACCGAGTGCAAACCTTAAACAAAGAAATGATACTCTAGGGAATGACAGGTGGTCTGAAATGGGACAACATTACTTCCTGCCGCAAGTCAAGAACATAAAAGATACGGACTGATTATTTTTGATTGACAGCAGCAAAAAAAACTAATTTCAGTGTGCAGCTTGCAACTACGGTTTGCAGAATATGGAAAACAGTAGTAAACACAGTATCAAAATTATTTGGAAATATATACTAAAATACACAAACATGTGCCAGAGACAAAAGATAAGAGTTTTATGTCATATAGATACACCTAGTATAATTGCAGGTGTAATTTATTTCACTGTTTTGAAGACATAGACTGACATTTTTGATATTATCTACTGTATTTAGTATACTAAAACAGTTATTTTCATCAACCTTGGGGCTTTAGAATCAAAATAAAAAATATTTCTAACCAATAAATTATTCCTACGTGTCATTTTGGATTTTTGTATGACAACGTTTTTGGAAGTACGTGCACCAAAATCTTTAATGAAATGATGAAGCTGATGCAATTTACAGCGTGAATGGAAAAACCGTGGGCATCTAGAAATATTTCAGGAATGTTTCTTAACCAAACAGAAGCATTACTTTTATCATTCCGACATCCCGAAATTCAATTTTGAGTGGCCAAAGAACAATGGAACATTTCTGGGATATTGTTAGATGACCACAGTGTTTCAGTAACAGCAAATTACTGGCCAAGTAAGCAAACAATCAGAGATCTAATCCAAACTTACGTGGCATCATCGGCAGTGTTTTGTCTTAACCAGAAATAAGCCTCCCTGAAATCATCCAGAATGCTACGACTCCTATGAAATGAAACAAAACAATGTAGTTAGGAAACAACTCCCAAACGCAGTGTGTATGTACACTTGCAGAGCTTATTTTGTTGTGTCGTGACTCTGCTGGTGACTTGCAAAAGCTTTCTGATTGGTCCATTAGTAATTTTTCCCACTGATGTGAGCTTAATGGCAATGTGGCTTTCTCCCAAGATTTTTCATAGTCTCACCAAGACTACTGTATTATTTCAGAATATTCCTTACCCATCATAGTTAGTAGATGCTAATACCACAGATGGACTAGAGTAAGCATTACTTGTAACCCAAGTGCAGTGTACAGCAAACATCATCAGCATCATCACAATGCACATCACCACTATGCCTTTGAGATTGCTGCCCAAAATTCCGCCATCATCTTCCTCTTCAACTGAGTCCTGTTTTTTGTTTTTACTCTTTTGCTTGGTGCCAGGCTATAAAAACAAATATACCACTGAGTTACACATTATCAATACAGCCATGTACCGGAAGTGCCAATACCATGTTCAAGTTTTAAAAAAGTGTCAGAAAGATGAGACAATAAAGATAAGACTTTACTGTATTGCTAAATAAACTTCCTAATAAAGGGGGTATAATTGGATATATTGCTGTACATGTTACATGAAAGGTCTGGAGACATGTAACATTTGACACAGGTTGACATGTGCAACAAAAGAAAAGTGTCTAAATGAAGAAATTTGAACAATAACAAGAGCATGACCAAATCCTTCTCTAACAAGGTCAACCCCAAGTTCACTCGCCTACTGTATGTGAATAGAATTGTTTGTCAGTTCTATTTGTGTTTAAGAGGACACAAGGCACAGCCACTGCCGAAGTTTACATACTAATGTACTGATGCCGAAAAAATACTATTTTGATACTCCTAAATTCACATTAAAAATATGTTGTCACAATTCTACCTTGTCATACAACTCTTTCTTGTTCTTCTCTTCACTTACAGTTCTTTTTTCTTTCCCCTCCGACTCCGCTTTAGTCGGAGGTTTATCATCCACCAAATAGTTGTCAAGGGTGACAGAGAAAGCAATGGCAGCAAGAATGCAAACGACAGGCGTCAAAGTGAGCATCAGACGAACCATCACACCAGCAAAATACACAGCAGTAACTGCATACAGCACAACTAGAAAACAAAATTAAAAAGAGATCATCAGATGCTAAGAGCGTGAAATATCCTTTCCAATTCACAAATTTTCATTTTGCCCCTGTTGAACTGCCCATTCTAGCTGAATGATAATCCTTTGTTTAACCATAGGTAGCCTCATCATGAAGTGCTTGAATGCAATGCCATATGAAGGAAATCTATTGTTCAAGTCAATATGGCTGCCACATGATAAAGGTCCATCTAACTGGAGATGGAACATCTGTAGAACTTACCGAATACTCTTTCATCATTTATCTTCTTGATGACAAACCACAAACCAGCAGGAAAGGTACATATCAGGATGTGAAGGTCAAAGAAGAATGATACCCAGGTAGTTGGCTGATGCTCAGACACAGAGGCAATGATTGGAATGTGAATCTTAGCATAGCTGCATGGGAAATAAAATACATCAGCGTCAAGTACTACAAAGACAGACACAGTGGGGGTGGATAGTGTGGCCAGTTTGAAATTTATAAGAATGAGAATAAAGCATATTTCATTAACGGGGCACTTGGATGAAAATCAATGAAAACTGGAAATGACTTTAAACTTGGGTAAACCTATCTATATGGTTTCAATAGTAGCCAAGCATATTTCTTGACAGTCAAGGGTGGCGGATAAAAAATATCAGTTTTATTCAACAACTAGATCGTGAATAAATGATGTCATTTACTCAACCCTATTGTTCTTTTATCTTTTAAACCAAAATTTCTCAACAGCAAGTGGCTCACAAGCTAAAATTTTCATCCAAGTGCCCCATTAATCATGAAACCTGTTAAAAGATTATCTTCTTTTCAGGTATTGTTGCAAGAAAAACATTACACAGCTACCATCTTTTATAGAAATTCATTGTTAATGCAAGTGCTTTGTGTTGGTGATTTGTGATTGGTGTCAATGTCAATGATCGAAAAAAGAGGAGTAATGTAAAATCTAAAAGGGGAAGGAAGATATATACTGAGTAGTATAGGGGATGGGGGTTCCAGCGCAACGACCACCGGAGGATTACCCGTCTAAAGTGAATTCCTCGATTCGTACCGCGATTACCCGCATCCCGTGTTTATGTAGTTAAATATGTTAGTCTATATATGGAGTGCGAAGAACGTAAAGAGTTTGCTTATGATTTCTGTGTAAAGTGCTTTAGAAGAGTGTATGGATTGTCCGCGCCTCGACAACCATGTTTCGACTACCTTTTCTACTGGTAGGCACAAAGTAGTATTTTTTTGTGTCCTCTGCGCTGGTAGCAAGCACCAGAAATGTCCATAGGGAAGTAGGTGGAGGCGAAATGCCTCTCCATGGTAGCAAGGGCCCCAAGAAATG